ATCTATCTCCCATCTGCTCTCACTATCTCACCTACTTAGGTGCTGCTCATTAAACCAGCATTTCACCACTGTCTTCCACTGATCCAGCCAGAGAAGGCAACACCTGAGAACAGGCAAGCTTATCTGTAAACTCAGGAACACTAAAAATAATGAACAGCGCTCTGTATAAAATAAATATTAATAAAATAACACTTCTACTAGTGCTCACATTATCCAGATAATCTTAAGATTTTCCCAGGTGCTGGCTAATATTTAATGACTAACAGGTCTGAACAAAACCACATCAGAAGCCTATAGGGAAACTCTACTTGGATTCTGATAAGAGTCCGAGATGCTAACATCACCTCCCAGTCGGATTTTGAGCAGTGTTGGAGCAGTAGAACTTAGAAGATCCTATCTGGGAACAATTTAAAACTTTATTATCCAACGAATGTGTTTTCCATCAGCCCTATCCTAATGCCTTCTCAAAGAATTGCCATAATGGGGCGCCAGGGTGGCTCACTTGGTTAAGCAACTGCCTTCGGCTCAGGTCATGATCCTGGAGTCCCGGGATCGAGTCCCACATCGGGCTCCCTGCTCGGCAGGGAGTCTGCTTCTCCCTCTGACCCTCCCCCTCTCATGCTCTCTCTATCTCATTCTCTCTCAAATGAATAAATAAAATCTTTAAAAAAAAAAAAAAGAAGAATTGCCATAATGTTTTCAGGGAATTATCTCCATTTCAACTTAACTCTCCATCCATCTTGTATCACTTTTCTTCTTTTACCATATAACGTAGAAATGTATCTTAACATCCAACTATAAAAAGCCATTTATATGCAATATTCTTGCCGAAATGTATTAATGCTAACCTTCAAATCACATCTCTGCAGGAAGCCTTGACCATAACAGGTAGGCCATGCTGTTGGGATAGCGGGCATCTTTCCCTCTTCCGTCTCCGCTTTGAGCTGTGGCTCTCAAAAGCTGATTCCAAGAATGTTATGATGACACAGCTGTCAAAGCTTGCATCTAGTAAAGACTTAGGCAAATGGTTGCTAGGAGATTGTAAGGAAGAATAGGAATGGAGGGCAAAAATACTAGAGATGAGGGAAAAGGGGGACCCAGTAGGGGATCAATAACAAAAGATAAAAATCTGAGCCAAATGTAACAGGCTCAGCCCTGTTACAGGACAGGGGTTGCGGGGTCACGAGAAAGAGCCCACTCAAAAGAACTGGGGCTCTGGGTAAAAGAGGCTCATTGAGGCCTTCTGTTCACTGAGGCACAAGAAGGATAGGAGCACAAGCCCAGTCTCAGGAACCAGACTGGCAGGATCAAGGTATGAAGCAGGCCCCATCCACCCGGCAGACACACAAGGACAAGGCTTTCTACCTGGCATCTGTGACCTGGGTACCCAGGCACAAGAGAGCTTAGGAGGAATTACCCCCTCCCTGATGGAAGATGGCTACCGAGAGTGTGGCACCTCTGCCTGCAGGTTTAAAAGAGCCAAAATGTTGTAAACAAAAAACAAACAAACAAACAATTGATCTGCCAGTCTCCTTTTGAAAGGTGTGGCACTCATAAACAGCTCTGATGATACATTTGGGTAAAGGCTAATCTTCATTCATTCATGGATCATTTACTGAAAACCTGATACGTGCTAAATGCGGAGCTAGGTGCTGAGGAGACAAGGACAAATGTATTAATGTAGAGGTATTCACAGCCACCTCCTGTCCTTCTACCAACACTCCTAGCCCCTTTAAGGAGCTCACATATTAAACTTGTGGAGCCTTGTTGTGCTGATCAGGAGAATGGGTAGAAGAGAAAACTGGAAGACGTCAAGGGAGACCATATGATAAAGAATTGAGGCACAGATGACTGGAGGAGTAGAGAGCAGAGATCTGGAGGAGGGGAAATGGAGAAACAGAGAAAACACATGAGTGAGGATGGAGTTGAGGTGGTGAGAAAATTAGGAAAAGGTGGGTCAATGAATTGACTTGTGGATTTGGGGAGACAGATCATTAAAGGCCAGAATAGCATGGTGGGAGAGAAAGAGAGAGAAAGATTATAATTTCTGCCCATGGTCTCTTGGAGACTTTTTTGTGATTGGAATTGTGTTTTACTCTTGGATGCCACATGATGATAAAACTGCTTACAAGATGAGCCAGCTTTTTGGAGATTACAAAATAAGACATGGTCCCTGCCCTCCAGGTGCTCAGAGTCGAACAGAAGAACAGTCATTTAACAAAGTAAAACAATAAAACCTTGCAAGTGCTGTGTCCTACAGCTATATAGGGCATGGGGTGGCAAATGAGAGAGGCCACCTCAAGGATAGCCAGATGTTCTCTCCACTGAAGCTTAGAGGGGATTTTTTTTTTTTTAGCTCCCAAATCAATGACCAAGAGCAACCTATGCCTCAGTGCTGGACAAGAAGAAGCAAAAAAATCCAAATTCCCTCCTCGAACTGATCAGAATTCTATCACCTCCCATGCTCACCAGAGTGTTGGGCAGTGGCCCACTTGGGCTCACTGAGGGCTTCCTTTTTCGACTGAGTGCTCCCTGGGCAGGACATATCTTCTTTTCTACTCCAGTATCCCCTAAACAAAGGAAAACGTGTGTAGACTGAGGTGTTAGCATAAGAGAACTCAGTACCAAATCTTGTAAGCATGGAAGGGGAAAACAGATGAATGCTAAATGAAGCCTGAAATTATACATGTGAAACACAAAGTCAGCCCCAGAGCTGCTGTAGTATTATAGCTGAGGTTTGCATTGAGTTTGCTACCCCCAGGCAAAGGGAGGACTTAGAGTTTCCAAGCAGGGCTGAAGCAATCACTTTACTGGTTTGTGCCAGCCAAGTGACTCACTCTCAAACCTGTTTAATATGAAACAGCATTAGGAGACTGGATATAGCCTCAGGGAGATCAGCTGCTAACCAGCTCAGATTATAGCTGCAATCCCTCAAATGCGGCCACTTAGAAGTGTCTCCACATGTCTTCAGTGGCACACAACACTGTGCAGGAAAGACACTGTCCTTGAAGTAGAAAGATCAAGGATCTGGTTTCCAGTCTGTAGCAATTTGTCATGTGACTTAGGCCAGCCTCATCTGGAAAATGAGGCTGATGCCTTGTCCATAAAATGGGGCAATACCTTCCCTGCCCACTCCCTGTGGTCGTTTTGAGCACTGAATGAGAAATATGAAAATTAAGCGAGGTGATGAAAATGGCAGAGAGCTGTGTACCAGGTATTACCATTACACACAGTATCATAAATCTCCTTTTATGCTTTCATTCGTACTACAGGGAATTTCCTTAAATGGCAGGAATGAGGAAATAAACACAACAAGAATTTTGCTTCATACTTTAATATCAACAGCGTTGAAAGCACCAATTTAGCCAGTTATTGTGGACTTTTGTCATCCAGGCAGTAAATTGGAGTCTTCTCAAGAAGATTAGAGCTCCCCTCCTCAGTGTTATCTGAGGCTATCCATCAGACCATCTCTGATATTTTCCAGCAAGAACTTTAAAGAGATCCCTGTTAGGGAAATTTATCAAACTATTTCTCCCATTTGCAATTACAGGGACAAGAAAATGAACAAAAGGATGTATCTTTCTTTGTTTTCTTCTTCTCCTTCTCCTCCTATTGTCTTTCTCCTCGTCTTCTTTCTTCCTTTTTTTTTTTCTACTCCCATTTCTATCTTCCGAACTGTGTGATGTGGGTGAGGTGAGTGAAGCACTTGCCTGGGATGGATATTTTAATTGGGCGCCAAAAAAACCTCAAAAATCAAGATAAATATATATACATTTTTTTATTTTTTTATTTTTTATTTTTTAAAGATTTTATTAATTTATTTGAGAGAGAAAGGGAGAGAGCATGGAGCATGAGCAGGGGTGGGAGGCGGAGGGGAGGGGCAGAGGGAGAGAGAAGCAGACTCCCCTGCTGAGCAGGGAGCCTGGCTTGGGGCTTGATCCAAGGACCCCAAGATCATGACCTAAGCTGAAGGCAGACACTTAACCACTTAACCAAATGAGCCACCCAGGCGTCCCATATACATTTTTTTAAAAGATGTATTTATTCATTTGAGAGAAAAAGAGAGCGCATGTGTGTGAGCAGGGGGAGGGGCAGAGAGAGGGGAAGAGAGAGAGAGAACTCCAAGCAGACTCCCCACAGAGTGCAGAGCCTGAAGTAGGGCTCAATCCCAGGACTCTGAGATCATGACCTGAGCCGAAACCAAGAATGGGATGCTTAACTGACTGAGCCACCCAGGCACCCCAGGATAAATATATTTTAATGAACATTTTTAAAAACAAAATTAATGCCAAAAAACCATGATGAGCAAAATATCAAAATTTTAACTAAAATCAGTGGCAGTGCCATGCCAGGACATATTGAAGCCTGAGGCAAGAGGAAGAAATCAGTAATACTGATCTTGTCTTTACTTAAGATTTGCTTTTTTGGGCATCATGGATTTTTGCCTTAATTTTGATGCATCATAGATAGCAATTTTTTTTCTTTCCTGGTAGCACCTAAAATTATAGTTTGCCTTAGTATGAAGGGCATCTTAAGTTTGGTTAAATGTTTTCCATGTGGTATGTAGAACAAGCATGACTCCTGGCAGTCAAACTCAGCTTGGCTTTGTCTCCCACCGTTTCCAAGCATGAATTCAGTGGAAATCACCTTCCCTGCTCCTGAATGCTCTGAGTCTCATGGCTTTTCTGCTCACTCTTAAATAATAGACAAGTCCCACAGTCATTTTAAGTCACAAACACAGTCTCAGTTTAGCAATTACAATGCATAATCCCCTGAGATAATCAAAACTCACAATTTCACTTAGTGGTAAATCTCTCCCTCCACCAGCCCAGGCAGCTGGCAAGAGGCAAAGGAAGTAGGGCCTTCTACTGTCTGCTCTCTCTATCTCTCTTCCTCACCCACTTAATACCTGCTGTTTTATTCCCCCCCTCCCACCCCCCTGCCGCCAACCTGGTAAGGACTTGTTAGTGAAGAGAGGAAGGAGATATATTAGTTCTTACCTGACTGGGTGGCTTCACATTCTCTGGGCCAGGAAGATGGTTAACGTGGACCCCTTCTCCTTGGGGCATCTTCATTGGCTCATCAGTGCTTCCTTCTACCTCCAGGTGTCTGGAATGTTTGTCCCATTTGATGGTGGGTACATGGATGTTTATTATATCATTAACTCTACTTTTCTGTATGCTTTATATATTCTAAATTTTCTTTTTTCTTTTTCCTTTTTTTAAAAAAAGAACTGAGAGAGAAAATAAGGGGGGAGAATCCCAACTCTACATGAAAACCTTTGCTGGATAGAAACCTCTCTCTTCTCTCTCCCTCCTTCCCTCCCTCCCTCTTTCTCTCTCTCTCTCTCTCTCTCTCTCTCTCTCTCACACACACACACACACACTCTCTTTCTCTCTCTCTCATTTTACTACCAGCCATTCCTGCTCTCCTGACCTTCATTTTTATCACCTCTATAGACCTATAAAAATAAAAGTTTGTCTAGATGAAGATAAACTTCTTTGCCCTGTCACATGCTAGTTTATTTCTCACTCCTTCTGAATAAACAGAGCAATCTCCCACTGGTTTCTAGTTTCTTCAAGAATAAATGGCCCTGGCTAGCATCCAGTCCACTCCCAGTCCCCTGGGAACTCGCCGAGAGAACTAGAACATCTCTGCCCTCGACCTCTAAGGCAGAAATCAACAAGAGTCCCAGGGCAAGAAAGACACTGTAAAAACAGCAGTGCCACCAAAGGCAGAAAACATTTACACTCACCACTGAGAGTCCCACTATACTGCCTGTCTCCAGGCATTGGAACTGAAGCGAGAAGAATGTTGCAGAGGCTAACCAGTTGTCCCCACTTTAGCAAAATAATTGCCTTCATTGTTTAGCTTCACAATGCTGGGGATATATTGTTTATATCCTGGAGCACTCATTTTCCATACCAAGTCTTCAATATTCTGCTTTATTGGTAATGTGTAGTTCTACTTTGCCTTCAGGGATCTATAGAGGTTGAAACAGGGAAACAATGTGAATTCTCACACATTCCAAAGGGCCTGCCCAGATTCAGGATGTCTGAAGCAAAACACTTTTCCAACATGACAAGTTTCGGGATCACAAGGAAGAGAGAAAACAGCTAGCTGTGGGCAGATATTGTAGATAAATCCACAAAACCAATGCAGATTCCACACCCTTCAAGACTAAGGCTGGTTTTCACAGTTGGGGAGTTGCTTGCAACAGCTGGCTGGGCCTGGGAGGCAGAGCATTGAGAGTGGGAGTAACAGAAGGGGGATGGGCCGAGTGACAGGCATCCGTTGCAGGAGTCAAGTCTGTACTCACCAATTTCCCGCACTTCCTTCAGTCTCCTTCTAATATTCGTTCCAGAGGGATTAATAAAAATGAACAGAAAATGGTGGTAGATGAGACAAGTTTTAAAAAATGCGAAAAGAGTGAAGAAGCTCACAGTACAGAAATGGAACTCCACTGCACCATAAACTCAGATGGAGAAAAAAAATCACATCTTTATTTTCACTAACCTGCAATGTAACATTTCCTTCGATTATAAATGGAGGCAATAAACCACAGCAGTCTTAGTAGTACTGATGACTTTGTCACTAGTAGAATTTATGGGTATTTTCAATTAATAATCTTTATGGTTGTTGCAAATATCTTGAACTATCATTTTTGTTCACCATTACTGTGAAATTATGATAGTAATTAAATTTGTCATGAGATCTTGATATTTAATCTGTTAACAAAGAAGCATATATAAATTGTTCTACACATTTGTTTTAATATTTTGATTACATATTCCAATAATTGGTTTCCTTTGTGATCCTATGTATTTTATGAAATAGATTTTAGAACATTATTCTAAGAAGAGATCCATAGGCTTTATCAAACTGCCAAAGGGGTCTATGGATGCAAAAACATTAATAACTCTTTCATTAAGCAGTTGCAGACTAGAGGGGATAGGGGGTGGTGCAGAATCCTATCAATCCAAATCCAAAAATGTTTGAAAAAGGTTTTGGGGAAAAAAGGTGGAGAGGGGTCAAGATATAACCTTAGGTAGTGCCTAGGGACTATGCAATTCACTAAGTAATGAAACAAGTTAAATTCCAGCTGAAAGGCATGTATTTAGGGATTCTTTTGGTAAAAAGCTCAACTATATAAGAAGGGATCCAACTTGTCAGAGTGTAGTTCAGGAGGACTAATTCTATATGGTGAACCTAGATCTAGGGCCCAGTGCCTAACCACTAACAAATAACTCAAATCTGTAAATACATAATAGTGTCTCATCTTCTCCAAGTAACTAATGGTAACTCAGTTGGGTAAGCATCCTTTCCACTCTGGGAAGAAACCTAGAAATAAAAATAATAGAAGCCCTTATAACCAATTTTCACTTAAATTATTAAATTAACTAACCTTCTCCATTCCTTCTAACCTACCAACTGGTCTTAAGGCACACTGAACACTTGCAGCCAGTGGGCCTCTCTCTAGCACACTGGCACATTCTCAAAATGCAATAATAAGAAAATAAATAACTCAATTAAAAATAGGGCAAAACCCACCCAATTATTTTGTTTATATATTTACTTAATGTGGGCTCCATACTGGTCTTGATGCAAACATAGGGCTTGAACTCACGACCCTGAGATCAAGGTCTGAGCCAAGATCAAGAGTTGGATGCTTCACCAACTGAGCCACCCAGGCACCCCTAAACCCATCCAATTATTAAGGCCCACTAGATAGCTATCTCTCGACAATACAGTAATCAAAACAGTGTGTTATTGGCAGAGGAATAGCCAAATGGATTAATGGAACAGAGAACCCAGAATCGGAGCCATACAAATATGTCCAAATAATTTTTTAAAGTAGACTTATTTTTAAGCGGTTTTGATTTATAGAAAAATTAAGCAGATAGTACAAAAAGTTCTCATATACTGTACCCAGTATCCCTCATTATTAACATCTTATATTAGTATAGTATATGTATTACAATTAAGCAATAAATATTGATACATTATAATTAATAGTGTATTCAGTGTCATAGTGTATTCAGATTCCCTTTGTTTTTAGTTTTCATGTCTCCTTAAGCTCCTCTTATCTATGACAATTTCTCAGACTTTCCTTTTTTCATGACCTTGATAGCTTTGAGGAGTACTGGTCGTATGCTTTGTAGGATGCCCCACTTTTAGAATGTGTCTGATGTTTTCCTTATGGTAGGACTGGAGTGATGGGTTACTGGAAGGAAAATTACAGAAGTAAGTGCCATTGTTATCACATCATTTGAAGAGTCAATATTTATCAACATGATTTATGATTTTGATGTTGAGTTGGGCTGAGGTAGTGTTTGTCAGATTTCTCTACTATAAAGGTACTTTTCCCCTATTTTCAGACTATAGTCTTTGGAAGAAAGTCACTATGCACAGCCCACCCCTAACTAGGGATTTATGTTCCTCTCCTTGAGGACAAAGTATCTGCATCAATCATTTGGAATTCTAAGTGGGAGACTTATCTATTCTCTACTATTTATTTATTATTCAATCATTTATCTCAGTATGGGTTCATGGATATTTATTTTGTACCCTGGATTATAATCTAATTCTACTTTATTTTTTATTCAAATTGTTCTAACCTTGGTCATTAGGAGCTCTTCTAGTTGGGTTCTGTGCACATTTGACATACCCCCATCCGTGTGTTTTTGGTTTTTCTTTATTCACTTCCTTACTTTCTGATACTACAAAATGCTCCTGGATCATCTTATATATTTTCTTCCCTAGTTCTAGGATAAACCGTTTCTCTAAGGAGCCCTATTCTTCTTACTAGAGAATGGTATTAGAAACCACAATCTGGGGATCAGGTGTACTGCTTGCTATTGGATGCCCAATTGATTTCTGACATTCAAAAGCTAGTCAATACAGGAAGGATAACCATTTCAACAAATGGTTCTATAGCAATTGGACATCCAAAGGCAAAGAAAGAAAAGGGAAGAAGGAAAGGAAAGGAAGGAAGAAAGGAAAGAAGGAAGGAAGAAAATCAACATAAACCTAATGTATTTTTGTAAAAAAATTAACTCAAATGAATCATGGATGTAATGTAAAATGGAAGACTGTAAAACTTCTGTAAAAAAAATAGTAGAAACTCTTCAAGATCTAGGACTAGGCAAATAGTTCTTTGACTTAACACTAAAACATGATCCATAAAAGGAAAAATTGCTAAACTGGACCTCATGAAAAGTAGAACTTTTGCTTTGCAAAAACTCTATTAAGAGAATGAAAACAGAAACTACTAGAGAGTGGGAGAAAATACTTGCAAACCACATTTTGACAAAAAACTAGTACCTAGAATATACAAAGAAATCTCAAACTCAGCAGTGAAAAAACAAAGAATCTAATTAGAAAATGAGCCAAAGACATGAACAGACATTTCACCAAAAAGAATATACAGGTGATAAATAAGTACATGAAAAATATTCAGTGTTATTAACCATTAGAGAAATGAAAATTTAAATAATGACATATCACTTTCAGATAAATGAAAAATATGTTCACACAAAAACCTGTATACAAATGTTTCTAGTAACTTTTTTTTTTCCATGATGGCCCTGAACTGGAAATAATCTAGATATCCTTCAACAGGTGAATAGTCAAATAAATTGTGGTACATCCATAACATGGGATAGTACTCAGCAATACAAAGGAACAAACTAATGATACATAACACTTGGATGAATCTCCAGAGAATTATACAGAGATCAGTGGCTTCCAGGAGCTGGGGTTGGGGGAAAGATGTGGAGGGATTGAGTACAAAGGAGTAGCACTAGGGAATTTCGAGGGGTGATAGAAATATTCTCTATCTTGATCATGGTAGTGGTGGTTGTATGTCTGCAAGTGTTTGTCAAAACTCATAGGACTGTACACTCTACACTCAAAAAGGGTATATTTTGTTGTCTGTAAATTATAACTTAATTTTTAAAAACATGAAAAATGAAGAAGCTTTTAAAACCAACTTCCACTTAGTTCAATTACTAGATTAACCAACATCTCCCATTCCCTCTGTAAAATATACCAGTTGGTACCCAGGACCCTTATAGCTGAGCACTTACAGCTAGTCCCTCTCTAGTATACTGGTATTTTCTGCTCCCACTAGTTGAGCATGACACATACCAAGAATCAGTTGCATTTGTTTCCAAATCTACAGATGTTAGTTGTGTTTGCTATTATAATTACCTAATGTAATTAAATATGACAAAAGACCATGAAATCTAAGTGTGGAAAGGAAAGGTTATTGTTTCTATGAAAATTAGGATGAATGCTTTAGAAAGACTAGCTAATGGAAACTTACTAAAAAAAATTTTTTTTTACATATTTATTTATTTTAGAGAGGAGGGGGAGAAAGAGAATCTCAAGCAGACTCCTTGCTGAGCACGGAGCCGGATGTGGGGCTTCATCTCACGACCCATGAGATCATGACTTGAGCCAAAAATCACGAGTGGGATGCTTAACTGATTGAGCCACCCAGGTGTTCCTAAAAAAGTTCTTTAAAAAAATTATTTATTTATTTATTTGAGAGAGAGAACACGAGCAGGGGGGAGGGGCAGAGGGAGAGGGAGAAGCAGGCTCCCCGCTGAGCAGGGAGCCTGATGCGGACTGGATCCCAGAACCCTGGGATCATGACCTGAACTGAAGGCAGATGCTTAACCCACTTAGCCACCCAGGTGCCCCTAAAAATATTCTTAAACTGTAAGTTTAAGTTAATGAAAG